TTTTTATTTTACCAAAAGCTGTGGGTTTATATTGAATCTAAATTTTTAAGACCTTCAGAGTTGGTTACCTTGTAGATGGTGATAATCTGTTCGTCTTTAGTCATTCTAAGAAGAGCCAGCTTGCTTAGCTCTGCATCACTTTCAGGTAGAACTTTTGGGTAAGGATTAGGAAACATTTCCTCCATTTTACGATACCAATACACCAGCCTCTTAACTTTTTGCAAAGGTTGACTTGCATGGCCAAAAATTTCATGTACAATATCGTAAGTGGTTTCATCTGGTGAGATCCAGTTGTCTTCCATCAGTGTCAAGATGTCTAATGCCAGCTCAGCTTGGGGATGCTTTTTTGCCCAGATGGCATCAAACAGAGTTCTGTTGTCAAATCTACCCCTGGGAAACACGTCTAGCATTCTGTTGTATACTTCAACGTCCTTCCCTAGATCAAATTCCTCCACGTAATTCATAGCTGTCTTGAGAAATTCCATATGACCTCTCCTGCTCCGGTCTCTAGCAAGAAAATTATCAATTACTCCCACAAAGTTCTCTTTAGTTTTCCCTAAGGAGGCAGCTTTCTCAAATGAGACCACGTGTTTTGACATAGATGCTGGGGATACTTTGACATTGCTGGGTGTTAAATTCACATGGACAAGTTTACTGCTCTCTGCATCTTCTGCTCTAATTTTAGCCAGTCTCTCGTCGTAATCCTTTCCCTCGTGAATCTCATTGTCTGAATTGCTGCGTAAACTTCTATAGCAGCTGATCTGTCTTCTTGGCAAGCACTTTATAAACTGTGGCGGCGTTAGCTTGCGCATGGAATTCGAAGTAACGTGAACGTCTACTAGATTGTTACATAGTCTCCTCGCGATTGTTGCCAACTTGCAAAAGCGATGCATCTTTCTTTGAAGATGACTCTCACTACGACAGTAATTATAATTTTATTTTCGGAAAATCAGAGAGCACTACACCGAAAAAACCTCAAGTTCACCGAAGCTCTCCCTCGTCCGCCATATTGAATCTTTGTGACTAAAAGTATTTTGACTGGGAGAGGGTAAGCAAGATGAACAGAATAGCTTACTTATCTAGCTAGCCCTCCCTCAATTTTCTTTATAGCCCTTCTCAGGTGCACAGTCCACCCCGAATATTGCTCTACTACTACCACGTGGTCCCCCTCCATCGTTCTCTTTTCTTCCAGCCCTCGTTGGCTTTTGCAAGAGTAAGGAGTCGTCCCTCATTCTTTCCCCATATTTCTGTACATTAGAGCCTCCCCGTGCTATGATTTTATTATACTCGTATTCTAACGATTTATTTCCATGTTCGATGTAGTCGTTTTCAATTTGAGCCATGAATTATGAAAGAAATGTCCTACTAAAATTCTCATACGAAGAGTGTGGTACTTTACCAATCAAGCTTAAGCCTGAGAGAAGTTGTTATTGTATGATTCTTTACTAAATAGTCAAGTTATCATCACATGTACACGGTGGTTATGATTTAGATTGGGGAGTGATAGAGACTTTTTAGACGCGGACGGTATCCGGAAGAAGTATCAAACTAATTCTTGGGCGTCTTGTCGTCAATTTATCGACCGTAAGGTCGCCATTTAAGCTTTTTGTATCAAATTTTGCTGATCAAGAAGGTGTTGTGAGTACCAGGAGGGAGAACTTCTGACTTCCGGCTACCGTTTGCGTCTCAAAAACGTTTGTGCTTGTAGAGCTCCCTAATATGGATGTCTAAACAAGTGATGATTTGGTCAAGAATACATTACTATAACTTTAAAAGAGAGATTGTTTTGGCTTTGATTGGTGTGCAAAAATAACTTTAATTAGTTTGGGAGAGAAAAGGCGAAATGCTATTTCCCCTCATTATAAAAGCAAGGAATGTTAAGATGATATGTGTGAGTGTAGTTCCACTAAATTAAGCCACACAACTGTTGAGGATCTTGCATGGTCAATGTGATGAAGCCATGTCATTATTGTGATTTTGGTTTCAAATCAACAAGTGAGTTGGCTGTGATAAAGAGTTGTAATCTCAGCCCTACTGAGTATAATTTGAATATATCAACAAAGTTGAAATGGTAAATTGGCCACCGTTACGATTATAACAGCTGACGTTTCGAGCGTTAGCCCTTTGTCAGAGCGATGAAGGGTTAATGCTCGAAATGTCAGCTTTTATAATCGTAAGGGTGGCCAATTTACCATTTCAACTTTGTTGATATATTCAAATTATTTCGTTACCCCCACCGACGCAGCCCCAAACAGTTTCTTTAGAAACTATCCACCTACTGAGTATACATCACTTAACTCCATAGCAAGGCAGTTAAGAAAAAAAAAGAGACTGACAAAACAAGCCATTCTAAACCCTATCTGGAAGTTATTACTTTACTTTCGCAAATCCATCCCAGACCTAAAGGTTATAACTGCATATCATCGTAGACAGCCTTCATGTGGTATAATGATATATTTTTTGGCAAATAATATAACAAAAACAATGCTCCTTTAAACTGAATTTGAACTGAAGAGTGAATTAAACATGAAAGGCAATAAGCAAATGGTACAATTGGTGAACTGTGTGAGTGGATTTTCAAGGCGAACAATTTTCCTTGTTTTCAATAGGTTGTTCCGTCGTCACTTTTTTTGGCACAGCAAAGCATAATGTCTGGGGGCATTGAAGCTCTACAATTGAAGGAAGAAGATGTTGTGAAGCTACTTGCTGCTGGTGTTCATCTTGGTGCCAGCAATGTAAACTTCCAAATGGAAAGTTATGTCTATAAACGAAAACCTGATGGTAAGAAATCCCCTTGGATATTAGCTTTCAGGGAGGGCTTAAGCTTTCTTACTGATGTTGTGCGGCAATTCTTTTCTGTCGAAGTGATAAATTGTTCAGAAACAGTGCAGCCATGAGAGTATTAATAATTCACGCTAAGATGAAACAAATTCTCTGGGGAAATATGCCCTCGTCCCTCTTCCACCTCAATTGTTATTTCGGTGTTAATTTTTTAAGGACTTCTGGCAGAAAAATTTGTTTAGTTTAAGAAAGTAAGTACTATCAAGGCTGTGCTCTAGCAGTGCCTGGTGGCCCCTGGCACCTTACTTTTTCTCTTGGGTGACTTGGAAAGTTTAGTTTTTTCATACAAAGCATATACTGGGCACCCTGGATTTCACAGTTTCAGAGCACTGGGCTCCATTCAATTTTCCTTAGAGCACAGCCTTGACTATTGTATTCGTTAACAAGTATTGGGTTACTGATGATACAGAGATGTTATTGCAATCAGCATACATTACATCAAGCTACACACTTTTAATCCATATCAGAGTTGCTCCATCTTTTCAAATTAATTAATTTCTCCTTTTGTCTTTTCAACCAGGTGTTCACATCATCAACATTAAAAAGACATGGGAGAAGCTACTTCTTGCTGCTCGTATTATCGTTGGCATTGAACATCCTGATGATGTCTGTGTGATCTCAGCCAGACCTTATGGACAGGTAGGTGTAATTGCTTGAAGCCATTAGCACTGGGAATGTCCAACCCACTCCATTTCAATTTACCATTCAGTACAAAGGGGTCACTGGTTTAAAGACTGACAAGTTGAGCTGCCTAATCAGGGGTTTCATTAAGGGCCAGGCACCGGGCAAATTGACCGGTTGTGAGGATGGCTTTGCCCACCTGATTTGACCATCTGGAGGAAAGTTTGTCTTATAAAGAAGTTCAGTTCAAAGAGTTTTGCCTGCCTGTGAAAACCAGTTGCCCTCCTGCAGAAAACATTAATGAAACCCCTGCCTAATATCAGATCATTTACTCACAACCTTGCTCAATGAGGAGTTTCATTTCCCATGACATATCTGAATAGTTTACAAGGCTTGCAATAACAGCCATACAGCTAACAACATTCGGTCAAATATAGTTTTTGTCCAATCAACTCCTTAGATGGTGGTACATTTCGTCCAGTTGTGATCAAAGTTTAAGTTTTAGATAGGGCTGTATCATTTTTCCTGCACTGAATTTGAGGCTGCATGTACAATGAAAGCCTGGCAAGTATAATTTTTTTAAAAGGGAGCAGGTTTTTTTAGTGGCATATGATATAATGGATATTTGTCTGACCAAGAATGAGTTGTGTCTAAGCAAAAACAGGTTTGACCAGACAATTTGGCTAGCACCAGCTGGGAATTTATTTATTTATGGGCTTAATGTAGTTTTGGTAAAGTGAACCTTGTTATCTTGTAGCGTGCCATCTTGAAGTTTGCCAGTCACACTGGAGCCACAGCTGTTGCTGGCCGCTTTACTCCTGGTACATTCACCAATCAAATTCAAGCGGCCTTCAGAGAACCACGATTGCTTGTTGTGTGTGATCCACGCACTGATAGCCGGGTAATATTGTGACTTGGCTTACTTAACCTACTATACACTTTATTTTGGTGCCACCTCTGGCTGTAATCCTGACGTAGCAGAATACTGTTTTTTCCTCAAAGAATGATACTTTTTTTTAATGAGCAGAACCATTAAAAATTATAAGAGTTGGAATAAACAACTACTGTCCTGTTAAGCTTCTTTTGACCTGTTTAAAGGAGCAGTTTTTACGAGAAAGAGTACTCTTTTAACTGAACATGGTGTAATTTTTTTTGTAGCCTGTGACAGAGGCATCCTATGTGAACATTCCTGTTATTGCATTCTGCAACACTGACTCTCAACTGCACGGTGTGGATGTGGCAATCCCATGCAATAACAAAGGTGCACATGCTGTTGGTCTAATGTGGTGGTTGTTGGCAAGGGAGGTGCTCCGCATGCGTGGTAGTATCAGCAGGCAAATCAACTGGGAAATTATGCCTGATCTTTACTTTTACAGGGATCCAGAAGAGGTACCTTATTTTTTTTTTCATGGATAGCTGCACTATTGAAGCAAAATAATTGTGACATTTACTGTTACCTTTTTACATCTCTGAATAACCAGTTTTAATGTTTGTGTTATTCAACCTCATATTTTTTTTCATACCTTTGGCAAATTAAAACTGTCATCACATAAATATTAATGAGTTTACTACAATTAGATGTAAAAAAAAAAACAAGGTTAATTCTTGTTGTTGTAGTTGATTGTTGTCATAAGGCAAATGTACCAGTGAATGTGGAATTCTTTCCAAATTGTGGTCTGCACATAGTGAATAATGATAGCTATCAGGCCTTTTTGCTATTGTTGTTACAACAAGTAATGAGTATCTCCCCTTGAAAAGCTAGAAGACCAATGCTTCTTTTTTTTTTTTTGCTATATAACACATCTGGAGTACCATGTAGATTAGTGACATAATTTGTTTGTATTCACTTAAGGCTGAAAAGGAAGAACAAGCTGCTGCCATTCAACATGCAGAAGAGCAGCCTGCTGCTCCTCCTCAGTACCCAAGTGAATGGGGTGGAAGTACTGACCAGCAACCTGGAGAGGTGAGTGCTTCCAGTATCATCAACTAGAGAGGCCATTGTAGTATGTAAGAAAGTGCACTTTAGACTTGATATTCCACATCATTTCTTATCATGGCAGCTGTTGTGCAAGGGTTTTGTATCCTTCCAAATTACTATTTGTCAGGGTAAAGGATTTTTTAGCAGAGATAAAGATAGTTTTAATGCTTCTTTTAATTTTTTGCTTCTTGCAAGATTTCCCTCTCTGGGAATAAAGCCAGAACCTGATTTTTGGCTAGCTCAAAAGAGAGTAGAAACTATTCCTAGTCCCCCTGCTCGTACCCTTTTTTTCCCTTTTTGTCCCTTTTTTGAGGATGAAAAAAATGTAATTGAAAGAAATTGTAACTTAAAAAAACTTATTTTTATTGAATTTTGTTTTTCAGTGGGGAGCTGAACCAATGGGTACTCCTTCTTTACCAGCCACCTTGGGAGCCACTGAGGAGTGGGGTGCCTCCCGTGAATGGACTGACACTGCTGCCCCTTCAGCAACTAAGGACTGGGCTGAAACCAAAGATTGGGCGGCTGAACCAGCACCAAAAGAATGGGGAGAGGAAAGTCTACAGCCAAGCAGTGACTGGGGTACCTCTGTCACCATGCAGGATTCCACAAGTGGTGGTGCAGAGTGGGCCTAGGTTGAAGCTGGATAAATACCCTCTTACTTGTCAAAAACCCTCTCTGAAAGAAACTGAATAAAATCTCCTGAAATGTCTTAATTTGCTTGCTATTGATTTTAGTCATTTATTTAACTCTGATCTTACTGTATGAAAGAAAACTATGGTGATCAAAACACAAAAGGTAGTGTGAAAAGACAACATCGGAATTTTTCAAGTATGTCCTATGCAAGCTTGAAAGGCTGTTAATCTTGTGAACACTCATTGACCTCATTGTGTATAGTTATTCTGATAACATGGTGGAAAGCTTTGGTGTCTACATTTAAAACTTCAAGACATTGTTTACATTGTTGTGTTCAGAAGGGAATGAACATCAGGCTTTGAAATTAAGCAATCATTCTCAATCAAAACTCAGCTTGTTTACTAATCATACGGTCAAACACAAACCAAACGTATGCTATCTGCCCACAGGATTGTTGTACATCTAAGTAGTTACTAGTAGCAGTTACATATTGACTTTCTCTGAGGTGATGATTACTATCTTTTAGGTAAAACTGTGTTAAAGTCTGTTGGAAACCAACAAGCTCTTGCCTTTCACTTAGCGTGATGACTCATTCTTATTGCAATGTTTTCACCAGGAGCACATCAGCATCGCCTACAGGGTGCACGTATACATATATATAGGGCCAGCAGATGTAAATCTGAGTATGACCTTGCATGTGTTAAGTTTAATTCTGTTTTCTCATAGTTAGGGCATTTAGCTTATTTGTTTTGAAGTTTCACATGATTTTTTTTTGTAAAGTCGTTGCGTTTGATATTGGCGGAAACTGTGCGTCTGTGTGGGGACATTTCACTCTATTTATATGTGAGTGGTAGGTAGTACGCGAAACACTAGCAGTTTTTTTAAATTTACGGTTAGCCTTTGATGCTGCTGACGTGTTTGCGCCCACGAACCAAAGGGGATCGCAAATCCTTTACACGACGGGATGGATGGTTAGTAAATTTGAGGTGAAATGAAAAAAGCACGGCTAAGACGAAGATAACAATTCTTGAAAGGGTTGTATCTCAGGGTCGAAGTGAAACCTAAAAGCGAATGTGTTTAGATGTGACGTAATATGTTTCAAATGTGGGGGTTAAGAGGCCATGGAGGAACTCAATGTGAATAACCGCTCCCTTGTGCAACCTCTATATTCAGGTCTCTCTTGAATTGTAGCTGCTGATCGAGCGCTTTACTCGTGCATGAACGTGACGTGGTTCTTTAAAAGCGATCGGGTAAAATAGGAACTTTCCTTTACATTGAGGGAAGGAATGTTTCTCAAATGAAGCAGTCCTCCAACGTCTGGAAGTAACTACCTACCTTTGAAATTGCCGAAAATCATTTCACTTTGCCAGACCGAATACACCCTTTTTGTTAGCCTGTCGGCGTAACAAATTCATATGCTGGTTGCATGCTTACAGTGTAGTCTGCAGTTACAAGTTCACAAAATCTTATGGTACCACAGAGTGGTGTTGAAATGTGAAATAAGTAGTAAAGTTTGATTTGTTTTCATTTTGATTAGATCCTATGTTGCAGGCTACAACCAGCAGTTTAACATCTGATTCAACCCCCAAAGGAACATCCACAAAAGAGACAACGAATTATGCTCGGCTATGTCGTCTTTTGATTGATGTCGGTTCCCAGGCTCCAAGAGATATATTTAATAGCATACATCCCCCAGCAAGTCTCCGGGCTGTTCTTGAAGTAAACAGACCTACTCTACAGAAACTGAGGTCAAGGAGAGTCCTCAATGCAACACAGTGGAGCAAGTTGTACCCTGCCATAGCCACGTCAGTGTCATCAGCAAACTTTGATATCACCCTTATTTTTGTTCTTCTGAGGAATATTTGTGGTTTGAATCCTCCTGCAACCACAGGATCTTGGGACATACTTCCACCAACAAGAGAGCCGAGTGCCGAGGCAGATATTGTCCGCCTGAAATGTTTCAGAAATGATATTTATGCTCATGCAGAGAGGGCATCTTTGTCTGATTTTCAGTTTGCTTCTCACTGGCAGGAGATAAGTGAAACTCTAGTGAGATTAGGAGGAAAGAGTTATGAAAGTGCAATCAATAATCTTAAGACTGAGTCTATAGATCCTGAGATGGAGGTGCATTACAAAAAGGTTCTTGAAGAATGGAAGAAAAATGAAGACAATGTAAAGGGCATGCTGGATGAAATTAAAAGGGAAGTAGGAAATGTCAGCCAAAAAGTTGATGACTTAACAGCAGCAGTTGTCCCAAACAGGGGTTAGTGAAGACTTGTTTTATCAAGGATTTTAAAACAAGAACCTCCTTACTATGAAAGTTTTGCTTATTGCACTTCGGCTTACTGTGCTCACAGTTTTGTGACCCAGTGGTTACAAGTTGGCAAATCCAGTGAGGAATTATGGGACGAGACCAAAAACCTCTCATATGCTACTTCATGATGGCTCTTTTTCATGGTTATGTAATTTTCTTTTCATTATCTTGAAATTTTTCTCAGGAAATGTAACCATAAAGATTGTGATTGAAGTAGACAGAGTCACCTTTAAAGATACAAAACAATGGGATCCTGCACAACAGGAAGAAGTAAGGCGAAAATTGATGTCGGAGATGTCTAAAACATTTTTTGAGACCAGAGCAGATAGGATTGCGATCGAGGATATACCCAGTCACCTACAAAATTACCTGGAAAGCGTACTTGACTTGCCGATAGTGACAGCTATGGAGGGAAGTTTGATACTTACAGTCCATTGTCGCACATTGGAAATTCTTGAACGTTTGTGGAAAGAATATTGTTCTGGTCATCTGAATGCAGTAGCAGAAAAGTTTTTCATGACTGATGACATTCAAGAAAGATTTGACGTGGATTCTATCACATTGAAAACAACAATTTTGAAGGAGGAATACCTGGCTTGTAAATTGTCACTAATGGATTTGGCAGGTGAGTTGAGTCAACACACAGCATTTTTATATAGCTGTTGACAGTTTATAATGTGACAAAGCTATATAAAGGTACTATGAAGTTGTACAGAATGGTGTTGGTCTGAGAATGTAGTAATTGTACTTCTCCCCAAATCACGAATGACTATGGTCACCCATGGGGAATATACAGGTTGACCACTTAACACAGGTTCCATAGATAAGGAGTATAATTATAAAAAATGATAAACGATGCCACTTTATGCCATAATTAACCTCTCGATGTACAGAATCTTGCTAAAAAATATTACTTACTTTGATTTTGGCAGAGAAACATGGATTAAAAATTACTTGAAAGATTAGTTTTATTTGAATAATCTCACTCTAAGTGACTGTTCAATTCACGTGAAGGACAATATTAATAAAACCAGGCTGTTGGGTCTTAGTAAAGGGTGACCATGACTTAATAGGTGAAAATTACAGTGAATAAGGCGAAACAAATTCAGCACTTCAACAGATGATCACTTAATGCAAGGTGACCACTTAATCTGGTGTAGCTTAAGACCAGTTCAGCTGTGGTATGTTCTATTTTCTCTTTTTAGATTTTTAAAATAGAAACCATTCTTGACTACCACATCACTCACAACTGTGTACTACTATGTTTTATTTCCTCTACTCAGAATTAAATTGGAAACCTCATCCAAATTTAGGTTGTTGTCGAGGGGAGTGATTGTAAAAATGGGAGTTTCTAGAAGTTTCTAGAAATTTCTAGAATGCTTAGTCAGGGTGACATGGACACTCGATTTTTCTGAGTCACGGCCATGGACCTTTCTCGACCATTCTGTTAGCTTTTACCAGAATAGTTGTGTCGTTTGCTTCCGGAATGTCCGAGAATACGTGGTAAACGTATATAAGAACTCAGCCAACTAGGAGTTATAAGTGTAGAACAGAGACCAACTGATCTGTATTGAGCTATATTGACAGAGCGCTATTATAAATTACTTGGAAGATAATCGCGCATTTTGGGAACATTTGGAAGCAACGGTTAGTTTGTGTTAGTGGTTAGCTACGCTAATAGTCTGTAGTGGGCTTAAGTAAGTTTTTAGAGTAAACTGGCTTGTATGGGTCAAATAGCACTAAATTAACCTTCTTCGAACGATTACGTGCACTTCGTCGGTGATCTTTTCACCACGCAACTCGGAACAACTCGCGAGGTAAATGGCCGACCGTTTCGTAGTCCTTCATTACTTGCACGGCGTGTTTGTTCATGTCGTTGTTAAAATCTAGTTTAGCGACAAGTTTTCCTCTGATCGAAGGCTTCCACGCGTCTTTAAACAAATGATAACTACACTGTTTACTAGTTACCCGGCCCAGACTTAACTCTTCAACTACGTGATTACCCATAATACTTTTTTCAACTACGTTTTATTATTTCGTTTGCATCATCGTTTTCACTTCAGCAATGAAGAATTAGGAAAATCGATCGAAGATTAGGTTTTAAAAGGTAGTTTAAGAGCTGATTCATTTATTAAGGTCGCTGCAAATACACAGCATTAGATTTCCGCAAGTTTATCACGAACGACTGCGAACAAACACTGATCCTTAGCTAGAGTTCCGCCTGTACTGTTGCAAGTTTTTTTTCCTTTATAATCATGCTTGGAGATTATTAACGAGTACGGCTTAAACGCGAGTTTTAATGGTACTGGGGTTCGTAGGTGTATAGTATTCTTTTTACCAAAACATCATTTTGTTTTGTGTGTGTGTTTTGTAGAGGAAGAAATGGCAGCACTTGTGCCACACGAAGAAGAATTGATGGAAACAGACGCAGCAGATGTTTCTGTTCGGGAACAGTTAGCTAGTGGTGAAGGAGCGAAAAGTGGGAGTAGTTTAAAAATCACAGTGAAGTGCCAAACCCTGGAAGGTCTCGAAAAACTTTGGTCAGACTATTGTTCAGGTCATCTCACTTCTGTAGCACAGGAATATCTTGTCACAGATGATATTAAGGAAAAGCTAGGTGTGGAATCTTTAAAGCTGAAAACAGTTATTACAAAGGAGGATTACCTGAAATGCAAACAGTACCTTCTAAACAAGGCAGGTGAGTTCTTAGAATAACTTTTTGCAAGGGAGGGGTTAAGCATCATAGTATGGATTCAGAAGTAAACAGGGTGTTCTTGGTTAATATTTGAATTAGTAAATAGACCTCTTTGTTAATGGCTAGCCTGATAATTAATCTTTTATCAGCCTTCTTGGCCTTGCTTTGGAGTAAGAATTCTTTTGTGTTCAGACTTGTTGTCAAGGCCAGAAAGGTTATTTTACAAATATCTAATAGAATAGCCAGCTCATTTTGAAAGAGGTCTTGCTCTAGTCTTGTGACTAGTGCTCAACATGCATGTTAGTAATATTGGCTGCATGGCTACAAAGTGAATTGCATTGAAATTTTTATTGACTCTGGGTAGGTGTAGTTAAGGAAAGTAAAGGCATATCAAATTTAATTATTATGGTTGTGGCTCTTCAAGTTTAAAATTTTACTTTCTTCAATTTAATGATCCCTGCTAAGGGTACATGTCTATGTATGTCTGAGTGCATTGAACATCTTGCTGTGGGCGTGTTTTGTCAATTCTCTCTAGACTTAAAATTGAAATTGAAGAAAAAATGTTTTTTTTTTTTATGAAAACAAGTATATAAGTACACTTTTAATCAAATATATGGAACCTCTCATTTGGTCGAAGTTATCAAGACACCTAAGAATGATAGAAACCGTAAATTCATTGAAGAAGAACAAGAAAAGTCGACCTTTCAACTCTTGTTGAAATTTAAAACTTAACTAAACAACTTTATAATCTTTTTAATTATCTACTGTCAATAACTATTATCCACATATGTAAATGTATTTGCCTTTTAAATTTTGTAGTGTCCCTCATGAGCTTATTGCTAAAAACATAGACACTTAAAAGTTTTCATTCATTCATACACTGGCATAAATGTTTTCACAGCTAACAGCACTGGTCTGTCCTCATCACCTGTGTCCAGCACAGAAAACCTGCTGGAGGATAAGGGAGCTACAAGCTTGCGTAAAAGTGACAATGATGGCAATGATGAAGATTGCTTTGAACAAAGTGTAGGACAAGATGAAGAGAAAATGATTTAAGCAAAGATCTGGAATGGTTAAATTAAAAGTTGCTTTCTAGAAAATGTAAATAATCTTGTTGCACACTTCAACCAGGTTGTGTTAATTCACATCCTTCATATTTTCTTGATTTACTCTTATTGTATATAGACAATGGCTTGGAACAACAACTGAATCAAGGCAGCTGTAATAAAAATGTATTAAGGAACTAGTGTTAAACTATCCCATTGAAGAACTGAGTATGAAGTGATTTTAATTTTGTACCTTTCCTTTTGAAACTTAGCAATGTTTGTGCATTGACAAATGAAAATTAACATGGAATCCCATGCATCTTTAACAAATTGGACACCAATTGTATGAGATGACTTCAAATTCTCACTCAATAATAGTTTCATTATTAGTTGGAGTTGGCTTATAGGATTTGCAATTTGGTTGTCCTTTCCTGATGTAACTTATTTCAGAGGATGGCATTAAAAATGTTCCTTACATGTTGTACTACTCCACTGGTCTCCTTTGCAGATGTTTTTATTTGTTTTTTGTTTTTGTTTTTATGGCCACTGCTCTGAAGGCAAAGCCATAATGTTGTCCTGTTGATTGAGTGTAATAACAGAAACCTCTTAGCCCACAATAAAGCCTGCCCAGTTTCACCCAACATTCCTTACTCTTGGCTTTTATCTGTTTTGGAAATCTCCAGTCATTCAACGCTTGGTCCTGATTTCTTCGAATTGCTTCAAATATTACTCAGAATAGGCACAAGATCACACTGTTTCCCGGTGCTAAACAACAACATCTCGCACATCTCACTATCATTTCTGGATGGCACATGAAAAAACAAAGCTTTACCTTGCAGAAATAACTCAATTGGTGTGATCAGCGCATCATGAAATCTAATGAAATCCATTGAAATCTTGAGACGAATGTTTTCTTTGAAAAAAGAGCATGGCTGAATTGTTTTGAACTGTTTGAATAGCAAATTGTACTCAGTAGATCCAAAGATATAATTTTTTCAGTTCTTTGCCATGACAACACAAAAGATGATAAACTTTGAATTGCTTCAAATGTTACTTAGAATAGGCATGTGATCACACTGTTTCCTGGTGCTGTTTGTTTCAAAGTAGTACAGACAATAACATCTTGCATGTTTCACTATCATTTCAGGGTGGTGCATGAAAAAACAAAGCTTTACCTTATAGAAATAACTCAATAGGTGTGGTCCGCACATCATCAGTGCATCATGAAAGGACAAATGTTTTCTTTAAAGAGAGAGCATGTTTGAATTGTTTTGGAAGTTTGAACAGCAACTCGTGCTCAATAGATCCAAAAATTTAATTTTTTTTTAGTTCTTTGCCATGACACCACAAAAGATAAAAAACTTCTCAAATTAACTTCGCTTTTCCCTGCACATCAAGGAAACTTTGGAAGAAAAATTTTATTTGAAAAGAGAGCATTTTACTATTTCAACTGGTGATCATTGCCTGAAAGAGCTGCTAATTTCAGGTGAGCAATACTTTGAGTTTAACAGGGTGACCCTATTCAATCAAATGATGGAATGGTGGAATACCCTCCAATGCAGAATGACTTGTTGCATGAAACAAGTCTCACAAACATGGAATTGCAATGAAATAAGTGAGTAGTTTATGGTCAACAGGAAAAATAAAAATTAAAAGAAGCCTAGTTTAAACATTATGGGGGCCTAGAGAATACACTGCTGGAGGAACAGTAGCCCCTACAAGTTACTATTACTATTAATATAATTATCTGTTACCATTTAATTATTGGTTGAATGTCAATTAGTCCCTTTATTCTTGAATCATCTATCTCTTGCAAAACAGGGTACTCATAAATATGTTGGATGTGGCAGCAGTAGCCATCTGCAGTCTTAACTGCCTATTTTTTTAATGCCATAACATGCTTCCTTAAAAGTCTGGGATAGCTGAAAAGTGCAAGACTCTGATTAGACAGGGAGGAGCATAAAACACTAAATTGACACAAAACAAAAATTGAAACTTTTAATACTTTAATGGTAGAGCCCTAAGGTACCAACCACTAATAGTGTTTATGTACTATACATGTATCTATAAAACTATAACTTTTTTAAAACTCAAACAATTTTATTAATGATGTAACACAATACGACTGTAAGGTCGAATGTCCTCAAAATAGGAAAAGACAGAAGATAAACTGCAAATCACCCTTAAAAGACGATAAAACTAGGCACGATTTTGTAGAAAAGGAACTTATTTTCCTCGAATCCATGCTTCTTTGAGCATAGTGGCATTTTTTGGTGCTTTATATCTTTGCTGATAAGATGGTTTAGATGCTGCAGGCAATGCTGGAAAATCTCTTTCAGATATACCACCAATGTTTGTCTCCACATTCCACGCAGTGGCACCAGTTTGCCACACCCCAGACATTTGTGGCTTTTTGTTCACCATTCCAGCTTTATTTTTATGCCCTTGATGCTTTTCCATAATTTTAGCATCTTGATGGGCAGCTAACAGTTCTTTTCGTTTATCAGGATCAGGCAATAAATCTACCAGTTCTGTAAAAACTTGGGAAAAGTTTGACTCAAATAATTCACAACACTGAGCATAATACTCTTCTGCTGAACAAAAACTTTTACGAAACTTTCCAGATAATTCCTTAAACTCTTCAAATTTGGACTTATATCCTAATAAACCTCTAATTTTATCCACTAAAGCTTGATTTCTCTCTTGCACACTACTGTTTGCTTTGACCTCTGTTTTAGTGATTGTTGGTTCTTGTAAAGGTGCAACGTTTTCTTTAACCTTCTCCTTAGAGGTTGGCTCAAAGAGTGTCTGAAAACCAGGAGGGGGCTTAGCACGAGAAGTCTGCTGTGTTACAGCTAAAGGGGGAGGCTGACGAGCTGGTGAAGCAAATCCTGGAGGTACGGTGGGTGATGGTTCAAATCTTTCACCAGATGTAGACAGAGAGGGGAAGTCATCAACAGAGTATGGTTGAGTAGAAGCAGAAGCATATGTAGTTGGTTTACTGGGTTTGCTACCTTTCTTGAACCCTTCATCAACATTTGTAACCTCTAGAGAACCTAGCGAAGCTGGAAATTGAGCTAATGCTTCTGTTTCATTGTCAGGTAGCCCTCCAACTGCTCCCTTTTCCTCTGGCTTGTGCTTCTTAGGTTCTTGTGGCTTAGATGAGGGTGAGGGAAGCTGTGAAGGGTCCCTTGCAGATTCACTCAAAGAAAGGGCCATGGCAGTCTGTAACTCCAAAGCTTCTTTCCTAAAATAAGGAGATACAGGTGAAAAAGTAAAAAATGTAATGACAGTCCCTACAAAACAAAACAGATGGAATATCATTTACATACTAACACCAAAATAAGGGAGTCATAACACATAATATGACAACTGAAACTATTACCAAATAGTAGATGAGTGCCAGAGCACCAGCAAACATTGCTGCTATACTACAGTGTAGTCTTATTTCTCTGGGTAGGATTCTCTCCACCAGATTTTGGTATCGCCATACACTACCAGTCTACATACTGTATGAAAATACTGCTAAATACGATTCAGGTTTCTGCTGCATGAAGCAGCTAGGAGTGCTCCTACTGCTGCTGGATGAAATGTCACTACATTGATAGTTATGCCCTCACATTTTGCCAAGTTAATTTGACAATCTGCTGGTGGCAATTTGTGCCTCTGAGTGGAGAAAGTGGATGGGTTGTAAAGTATGTTGCTAAGAACACAATGCAATGAACCTTGTCTAGATTGTTACCACAAATTTTGCGACTCACAGTACACAGTGTTGACTGTAAGGCCCTCATGGAACAAGGGTTGAACTTTGTGAGAGAAGCCAATTTGTGGAAATAATCAAGTACTTGCCTAATTTTAAGATATTTCTTACAACTTATAAGATCTTAAATGAGCAATCTACTAGTTATTTAGAACCTATTATACAAGAATACCACCCATGAAGAACACTGAGATCATCAACTCGCTTACAGTTATGCATCCCACCTATTAAATCCAATTCCTATGGTGGACGCGCTTTTCAGTAACTGCACCGAAACTATGGAACTCAATTCCTGAATATATTAAAAGAGCGGAAACAGTAGAAACATTCAAAACTAGGCTTAAGACATTTTTGTTTAAAAAACATTACTGTTAATTAATTACTTATTCTTATGTCTTAATAATCTGTTGTTAGGCGCATTGAGATTAGAAATGCGCCCTATAAGCATCTATTTATTATTATTATTATTATTATATCATTTATTATTGCTTTGCAGATGCAGCTAAAAAACACCTTTGTGAAGTCATCCCAATAATGCAGTTACTGGACAAGGCTCTCAGAATGCAATCATTTATGATTGTGTTAACAATAATACAACAGAAGGTAGACAATGCAAAGGAGATGATGGCCCTCCATAGAGATTTACTGATAATTCTTCCACTGGTAGAAGATTTATTTGTACATCTCTGTCACTACAAACCTGTTTGGCCCTGAAAAGTTTCCTCTTTTTCCCCCTTTTTCTCTCTTTTCCTTTCTTTGTTCTGAACTTCTTACTTCCACAAAATCTCTGCCAGCAATTGAACCATGATTTGTCTGAGGCCTTGGCCGAGGAGCAAAAGTTATATCAACATCTAACTGACGAGCCTGACGAGCCTGTGCTTTACTCAACTTTCCAGAGTGTTTTGCAGCCCGATGTGCTTGAAAATCAACCTTTGTTCGAAAGACAGAAGTAAATTGCTCATGAATACAATCATCTTCTTCACAGAGAAAGTGAAAATCACGAAAGTGCTTTCGCAGATGTTCATAATTGGGGTAGTAGTCCTGACTTCCATCCCGTTCACAGAAGTGACACCAGAAATGATCTTTGCGCAGGTGCTTGTGAAGCTCATCATTGTCCAGATAACGCTGATCACAAAATTTACAAAGAGGGTGTCCTTTGTGGGATTTGTCATCAGAGTCACCAACTCTACGGTGTCGTGCCAGCTCAGAACGAGTGTAGGCTTTTAGTTCAAAGCTGAACTTTTGCAAATTAGCCACACAAAGATCACAATAGAACTTTTCATGTTCCCGCTTCATGTGATCACGGAGACGATCAAATGATCTCTCTGGCTGGCGGCTTGGGCAGAACTGACAGCGATGTTCAAGGAGTTCCTTCACTTTATCTTGGATACCCTTTTGTTGGTAATGAATACTGTGTCGTTTATCGATCACAGAGGAACCCCTTCTAGCAGCAAGTTTTCTATAACTGATGCTATCTTTGGTTATGAATACCTTGAGAAAAATTGTACAAAAAAACAATAAGTATCTCGGACACAATCTTTAAAGGCAAAGAAATAGTATATTGTCAGAATATTCCTATAAAGTTGAGGGAATTATTGACATGTTCCATAGGTGTGGCCAATAATTTTTTTAGTGTAATTACATGGGTGATTCGCAGAGCAACTGGATTCTGTTTTGCAAAAAAATTTGCAAGTTGGCTATTTTGAAAACATTTGTTAACTATTATCACCACTTATACATAGCGATTGTAAAAAGAAATGAATTATTTCTCTATAATAATCAGAAATCACCTAAGCAGTTTTCATTATCAAGTATTTACATCAAATGAATGGAATTCATGAGCTCTTATTTTACTCACGGTTCATCAATGTAAAAGGAGTTGTCCGTGTGATTCCTCAAGTCGTTTCACAATCAAATCGGAATTCATGGTAAGCAGAATTGTGGGCTCCTTATCATACATGACTTAGTATGTTTCGACAAGTTTTAGATCTAAGGCCCCTCTGCTAAAAATAAGTTGCAGTGCAGTATGAAAGCAACCTGGAGTTGTGGAACGCTCGAAGGAGTGGTAATCTTCGCACATGGCTGTGAAGAATGGTTCTACAAGCACTTTCATTAATAGTTCGATCGTCTAGTATAGTGAGCCGGTATTACTTTTAAATTATATTATTTCAAAAATTCACTTATCCTGTTTATATAACATTGTACTGCAAACATTAGAGGTTATTTCCATTGTAACTATACCGACCTGCTGCAGTTCTGTTCGGCAAACAGGGCAATAAATTTCCTTCCCAAGTACACGCATTCGAACACAACACTTGTGGCAAACAGGATGGTCACACACTCCAACGGCGAAAAACTCGATGTCCTCACAACAAACAACACAAACATTAACAGGCTCTCTTCGCACAGGTTTAGAACTCATCTTTCCTTCGTTTACCGCAAAGTTACAGTGATAAAAATAACAGAATTCCAGCTCATTTGATGACGATCAAAATACACTTAAATATGGCCGTCTGATCAAAGTGCATAATGTCCAAATATAGAATTAGTCGTAATGCATTGCAACACCAGACGACAGATCTTCGTCAGAGGGTATGCGGTCAATAACGTGGGCTCAAAAGTCCTAGGTCTAAAATTTAGCGAAATTACTGGAAAATAATAAGGGCTGCCTTTAAAACCTAGGGACTCTGTTTTCATAGAAGGCACTTTCCTATTTCCAGAGGTTTTATGGAGAAAATTAATTTTTCTTAATTTTTAGGGGGTGTACCAAGTTTTTGAGGGTTGTTCTGTAAAACAAAAGCGAACGACTCAAAAGTCCGTGTTTCCGCGGCAAAACCAAACGCATGCGTATACGTTATTCAGCTCTGTCACCAGACGTCACACCAGACCGGAAATGCGCCATGATTTCCAAATAAATGATTTTCGAAAACGCGTTTTTGATAACCAGCGGATGACCACTAAAAATATTATGGTCTATTGCTGACCCGGTCTCTTCTAAGATTTCAGTTACAGTAGTAATAAAGGCGAAGATGTTGCCTTTATCGCGAAGGTTGCCTTCAATTTCAAAAGGAATAAGTTGTGCAGCTTCTTCTGTAAGTAACTTCCATCTTTGAAAGTTATTTTGCTGCGTATTTAATCAGCAAACGAGTACGAGATGTGGCGACATTTTCTGGCGTGATATTAACTTGGTTTGCCTTTGTTAACAAGTGTGTCGCTCAAAAATTTGAAATTTAATCTACTATAGAAAAGGTTATACGCCTATGCAGCTTCTCCGCTTAATGAACCGTTGGAAGATTTGCAGGCAGGAGCTGGAGAAGGTGCTGATCTAACTCCCCAGAGTGTACAGGTTTGTTATGATAAAACAAGATGCATTTGTCATTTAACTGAGAGGTGGTACTGAGTAAAGAGTCACTGAGGATCAGGCTTGATTCGTGGAACATTGAATTTCACTACAATTGCTGATATGAATCAGTTAGAAATAATCAAAGAAATTAACCTATCTTCTGTTCTTGGTTGAACATGGTGGCAGTCCAAAGAGCAGTGGATAATATAGAATGTACATGTGAGATTTCGGTAAAACTCAAACTATCCTACCATCTTAGTAGAGATCATAAACTGGTGCTGCATTGTTAGTGTTACTTACTTCTTTGGTACATTAGTCAACAATTAAAAGCTTTTTTAGTCCTTGATTTTTTACATTTGAAACTTGGTTCTTGCAGTGGGTCCAATATAAACTATCAAGGAAGCAATTACGAGATGGATGTTTTCCTTAATCACCTGGAAATTTTCTATTTTTTTTTTATGCATTGATGATGTACTCTTGCAAATAAGTTAACTGTTTTTGGGTGGGACTACAGACAGGACTACTGTTTATTTTAAACCATTAACTTCTATGAGTGACCAAGACAGAATTTCTCTTTACATTACTAAAACTATATCAAGCATACAAGTGATTAGAAAACAGACAGTATATATAAGGGTTAACAAATTATTTTTTCCACAATGGGCAGTAATATCGCAATCTGATTGGTCAATTTGCCATTATTGATAACAGTACAGACAACATTGCCTGCATTAACAAGTCACGCAATGGTCACACACTGAAAGGATCATTTTATTTGACATGGATATTGTGGTGAAAACAAATCAACAGTTGTTTAGCCTGGTCTGTACTCTTATCAAATGTTATCGACTATAAGGCTGTGCCTCACGAGTCCACAACATTTTGACCACTGTGATGACAAGTATTGTTGTCGATACAAGTACAGGTTTTATTATGGTCTGTACTCTTATCAGCTCTTATCAACAACCAGACTGTGCCTCATGATTCTTCATCATTTTGACCACTTTGATGAATTTTATAGGCGATAAGAGTACAGATCACACTAAACCACTTTTCAATTTATCAGGGACCAAATTCTCCAAGCTAATATCTTAAGAATTGTATGGCAGACAGTAAGGAGAATTTGTAGTGAGATCTTGGTAGTGAAAGGCTTAATGGGTAGGGGATTTTAAAATGGATGACTATGGGACCATGACCTGTGGAACTCCAGCTGTATCTACACAAGAGCTCATTAGTATTGTGGGATGAATTTTTAAAATACTGCTTACATTTGCAGGTTACTACTTTGGAAAATGGCCTGAAAGTTGCTTCTCTGGAGACCCACTCACCTAAGAGTCGCCTAGGCTTATTTATTGATGCTGCCAGTCGTCATGAAACACCAAGCACTCTGGGTATTACCCATGCTCTACGTAATGCTGCATTTTTGGTATGTATTTAGTGCTTTGAGAAATCTAATTTATACAAATTTCATCTATTGTTAATGCTTTGAGAAATCTAATTTATACAAATTTCATCTAATGTTAATCAGTTGCAATGTATATTCACAATTCACTTGTGTTGTCTCCAGGGTAATGTGGACTATTCAGGATTTAGAATTACAAGAGAGCTAGAACACAATGGAGCAACTCTAGAGTATGTTATCATTTCTCATGTATTTAAGCCTATTGTTTTTATTTGTGCTCCATTTTCAACTATTGCATGCAGATTTCATCTGATTAACACTTTTCATCTTTAACTGGTTATTCAGTTACCCTGTATCCTACAAATGTGTGTGTATTTTGTGTGGCTATCTACATGTATGTATATTTTGCGGCATACTGTTGATGTCGCTGACAACTCTGATGATTCTTACAGGGCCACTTGTAACAGGGAGAACCTCGTTTACTCAGCAGACTGCCTTCGTAGCAATATGTAAGTACTGATTTGCAAAAATAAAAGGGTTTTTAGGTAAGGGAACATAGTCTTATCTTAATTATTTAAATATGGATTAAATAATTTGTGTTTATTAGTGAATTAGTGTTTATATGGGTATTTGTTCATGACTGTTAATAATAAGTGTGTGAAAATGACGTTGTTAAGAAAGGTGTTCTTGCTTTTAATTTGTCTCTTTTGGTTTATCTGTTTTTGTATTCAAACTGAGGTTGGGCAAAAGAGTAAGGTTGACATCGGCCTGTCACTGGTAACTTTGACTGTTTGACTGTCCATCTGTTGAGAACTTTATCATTATTTTCAAACTAATGTACATTGAGTTTGTCAATAATTTATAGCGGCTTGGTAGTTGACAACCTGGCCAACATTGTGAAGAAACCGACCTTCTATGGCTGGGAGGTGAGTTTTCTGCACTGAACTTGCACATATACGACATTGAGTTGGAGCTGTTCATGATTATACAGTGCAGGTAGTTCTTAAAACCTACAGGGTGGCTGTAACTCCTCACTTGGACATGAAAATTGCACCTAAAAAAATAACTAGGAAAAATTTTGACAGGGTGGTGGTAGTATAAGCAAGGCTGTGCTTTAAGAAAAATTGAAGGGAGCCCAGTGCTCTGAAACTTTGAAATCCATGCTGCCCAACATATGCTTTTTATGAAAAGACTAAAAGATTCCTGAGTTGCCCAAGAGCGAAGGTAAAGTGCCAGGAGCTATTAGGCACTGCTAGACCAGGTGGTACTCACACCTTGTCATCAGTATACCTTTCCATTTTTCTAGAGAAGTTTGCTTTTTTTTTCTTTGATTATGAGAAGCCTGTGGAAGAGACCTGGCCTTGGTTGATTGAAGGTTGGATAAATGTATCTTATTAACCAAGCGCGAGGGCCGTACTGGGAGAATATTGGCCCGAGGTCTTGACAGTGCGGACCGAGCATGGCGAGGTCCGTACAAAAAAGACCGAGGGCCGATATTCTTCCAGTACGGTCCCCAGCAAGCTTGGTTAATAAGAGATTTATTATACGACTGAAGTTCAAAGGGACACAATTGCAGTATCATTCGGGACCATTCGGGACAGTGCCCGGTCCAATACTGAGAGAATATTGACCAGCAGTAGAGCATTTTGATTGGTTGATTCTAGTTATTGGCCCTCTGACTGCCCGAGTCGTGTAATAATGCTATGTACTGGATAAAACTCTCTCCGGTGGATAGGACTTATAAAACTATTTGTACAAAATGCAATTCATGTAGCAGCCTGAAAACAACACCAACTCTATGTTGCTCTTAATTATTAATTATTGATGTGATCGTTTTATCATTTTAGTACTTTTCGGACCACAGTAATTGGCTATCGCTGTTGTGGTTGCCTGCCCATTATTGTTATTGCTATTTTATTTTATCTGGTCATGTTATAGGTTGTTAGTATTGTTGGCAAAGCTAATAAACTAAACTGATAACGCTATACTTTTTGCCATCACTCATCTGTTGGATGGCAATTTATTCTTTGGATAACGTTATCTGCCTTTAATACAATTGGGCCTATTTGTTCTTGTCAAGTTGCATTTCTTTTAATTATTGCCTAGAGAATTAGTATTAATTGACTTTCTCCTATTGATGTTACATATACTGTACCTTCTCTTGGTTTGGAAGTTGTTTTAATGTTTCAGTTACCTCTTGTTGCAGGTTGACCAGGTGACTGATCGTTTGAAATTAGATCTTGCAGTGAAAAATGCCCAGCCACCAATAAGTATGTTCAATATTGTACAATGTATAGATTTCTAAATAATAACAAAATTTGTCTTACTTTCATTTGATCTCGGTGTATTGTATATTTTTACCTTTAGGTCATTGGGTATTGTGCTTACTGCTTGATGTGAATTTAGACTGAAAGTTTATCCTTTCCTTCTATAATGTATATGTCTATTATTTCTGTAATAATATACAGTACATGAAAAAATTATGCAACACAGGTGCAAAGTTGTAACATGGTTGCAAATTACAAGAAACGTGCAAGCGCTTTCAAAATTTTATCTGTCTTGACTTTCTGTGATGCTTTTTTCATGTAAATTATCTACAAGTGACAACATGATTTCCTGTGCAATTTGGTGAAATGAGCACTTGTAATTTTTTCAAAGAATTCAAATTGCACTGGCCTGTCTGGACTCGTTGGGACTAGACAAAATGGTACGAATAATCGAGGGTCTGGATAATCAACAATATGAATATTAATGAGGAACAAAAACTGATTAAATTAAAAGAGTGACATTTAATCCTGAAACAAAACATTTACAAATCATTTTGAAAAAGATATGATCTACATCTTCACTGTCCTATGTGAATACAACTCTGCTTGTGTGTATTAACAATTAGGAATTTAATGAAAAATGTTTTTACATTGGCCTAAAATGTTGAGGTAAGTCAGTTTGTCTTAAAGAAGAACATCGCCTTTACTTCACTTTTCAATGCTGTAGTTTTAAAAAGAATATGGCTATGGATCTTGAACATGACTAAAAAATATTCATCGGGGCCAGAGAAAAAGTCCAATTAATCTAGAAATCTGGATAATTGAGGTCTGGATAAGCAAGGTTCAACTGTACTTATAACATAGCCAAAGTAAAGCGCACACTCTGATTGGTCAATTTAGCATCCCCCATTTGCCCATGGGTGTACGCTGCTGACGTGAGCAAATGGAAAGACTATTTTTCC